TATCATCTTTAGCATCGCCGTCAAACCCTGAAATTAACTCATTGACTGAACCAAAGAGTATTCCTACAGATAAAAACAAATCAATGTATAAGGCTCCAACAAATCCAAAAAAAGCACCAACTGTCCTTTACGCCCCCAAGAAGCAAACTCACCTCGGAGGTAAACCCGCCAAATTGCATGCATTAATTAAAAACCCCATGCAATGACCACATAATGCAGTTAATAGAGCTTCTTCCTCCAATTTTCCACGATTGAACTCGGCTGAGAACCTTGACTCAAACAAGCATCACGTTGTAAAGCTAATAGATGGAGATAATCCCCGCATCCCAACCGAAACTCTAGTTCCTCCTGCAACTAGCAAAGGCCCCGGGACTGTGATGGAATAATGGGCTCTCCTGCCTTCACACTCCCTTTTACTTATGTATCTCAACATATTTATGTGGAACGCTCAAGGCTGTGGCCACCGGAATTTCAATCGCATTGCTCAGTAATATATATGAGACCATTCACCGGATGTTGTAGGATTCGTTGAAACCCGTATAAGTAGTCATACTGCTGATAATGCTATTGCTCAACTCAAAACTCTGAACTCTTTTAGAGTAGAAGCTGATGGTTTTTCTGGAGGCATTTGGATATGTTGGTATGATCATATTCAAGTTGATGTTATATTCAGTCATTTTCAATTTGTCCACTGTAGGATCCACTGTAAGTCCAATAACTATTCCGCTCTTGCTACCTTTGTCTACGCAAGTCCAAACCCTGCTAAAAGGAGAGCTCTTTGGTCGTACCTTCAATTGCTCTCAAATCATATTAACGAGCCTTGGGTGGTCTTAGGCAATTTCAATGTCGCGTTGTCTCCAAATGATCGAAAAGGCTGTTAACATCCCATCCTCGGATCAAGACTTCAGTGATGTTGTCTTTGATTCAAGTCTTAATGATCTTGGATATCAAGGCCCCGACTTCACTTGGTATAGAGGACCTTGTGATGTTCGCCTCGACCGATATTTTTGCAATGATAAATGGCTTGATGTATATCCCGATACATTGGTCTACCATCTCCTCATAATGAAGTCTGACCATAGACCTCTCTTACTTTCTATTGGCAAAAACACTAATAAGCGATATCATGGTCAATTTCGATACTTTGCTGGATGAACTCTCCATAAAGATTTCCATAAACTTGTGCTTGATAATTGGGACCCTTCACTCCCAATTACATGTGTTATCTCTAAATTCAGTAACGTTGTAAAAAATTAGAATCACTACACTTTTGGGCAGCTTTCTCATCGTAAGCGCAGTGTTATGGGGTGACTAAGGGGCATCCAACGATATCTTGATAAAAAAACACCGTGCTTATCTCTCGCAACTTGAGACTAAATTTCAAGCTAAACTTGAATTAATCCTTGATCAATAGGAGCTCTTATGGAAGTAAAAATCTCGCTCAGATTGGATATCGTTTGGCGACAGGAACACAACTTGTTTTCATAAAAAACCTATTATAAACAGGAGGACTAACATAATTTATTCTCTTCAAATTTCCACTGAAGATTGGTGCTCGGACATTAATATTCTTCGGCAAGAAGCCAGCTCATACTTCCAGAAATTGTTTTCACTTTAAGAGGAGGTGCACGACACTTATCTTATTTCGGGGTGTTTTCCAACTCTACCTTCTGAATTAGTGCAAAATTTAGAAATTCTGCCAAATCCAATGGAAATAAAGTAGGTGCTATTCGACATGGCTCCACTCAAATCTCCAGGAGCAGATGGATTGCATGCACACTTCTATCAGAAGCATTGGGACATTGTTGGCACTTCGGTTTCCTCTATGATCCAAAGCATTTTCAGTGGTAATAATATTGATCATCTATTAAACAAAATAATTCTTGCCCTTATCCCCAAAATACCAAGTCCCTCTAGCTTTAAGGACTTCCGACCTATTAGCCTTTGTACGGTCTTATATAAGTTGGTCACTAAGATCATTGTCAGGCGACTCCAACAAATTATGCCTCGACTTGTCGTGCCTAACCAAACCAGCTTCATAAAGGCCGTAGCATCTCGAAGAATATTATTATTAATCAGGAGGTTATTCACTTCATGAAATCCAAGAAGGACAAAGAAGGTTGGATGGCGATAAAGGTGGACTTGGAAAAAGCTTTTGATCGTCTTCGCTGGGACTTTATAGCCGATACACTTTATGAAGCAGGCTTTTCACCGATAATTACGTGACTTATCTTACATTGTATTTCATCTTCTTCTATGCAGGTTCAATTTAATGGAGGCCTTAGCAATGATTTTAAACCGTAATACAGAGTTCAGCAAGGAAACCCAATCTCTCCTTACCTTTTTATTCTTACCATGGAAAGGCTTGGTCATCGTATACACCTTGCTTCCGAGGAAGGCGCTTGGAAACCATTTAAACTAATACGTGGAGGTCTTCCTATCACACACTTATTCTTTGCAGATGACTTAGTATTGTATGCCAAAGCAACTGCAGTACAAGCAATTCTAATTAACAATATCCTAGAGGAATTTGGTCGCTACTCGGGCCACAAAGTCAACAAGCTCAAATCACATGTGTACTTCTCGCCCAATACAAGCATAGAATCAGCAAATGCAGTCTGTTCTCATCTCGGCATCAAGCAAGTCCCTAACTTGGGTGTTTATCTTGGAATATCAGTGATACACAAGCGAGCCACCTGCGAATTCTATAGCTTCATTATTGATAAAATAAAATCAAAACTCCATGGGTGGTAAGCTAGAACCTTATCTTTTGCGGGACGGGTTACCCTCGCTAACTTCGTGCTCATGGTTATCCCAACTTACTTCATGCAAACTTGTCGCTTCCCTTTTCGAGTCTGTCAAGACATTGAAAAGCTAGTTTGACATTTCATATTGAGTTATAGCAATCAAACTCGAGGCATTCCCCTCGTTAGCTGGGACACCTTAACTCAACCTAGGCATAATGGAGGCCTCGACGTTCGGAGGTTACAACATCATAATTATGCCTTCTACATGAAACTTTGTTATGTCATTGCTTCGAATACGGAGAAATATTACATAAAGCTTCTTCGCCAAAAGTATAAGGTGCTATCTAACTGCCCCCCTCCATATTCCGGCCGAGTTGCTCTCACTTATGGAGGCCCTTATCCAAAGTCTGGAATAGTTTCTACAACTTTTTATCTTGGTCTATAGGTGATAGAACTATAACCAGATTTTGGCATGACAATTGGATGTCGAATCTTGGGCGTCTCTCAGAATGGAAACATGAGCATGTTATTGTTGAAGACAACTTGCTGGTCCGTGATGCTGCTCTGCCAAACAGTAATTTGAACCTGCTCCAGCAGTCTCTCCAGCCCTCCACAATTCCACATCTGTTGAACATTCAACCTCCTAATCTGAATGTTGGTAAGGATCGATATTGCTGGTCTCAAGGCAAACACGGTGAGTTCACAGTAAAATCTGCTTATGATCTTATAGCCAAGGATCTTTGGGACCCCAAAGACATCAAATGGACTAAGCTTTGGCGTATGACCATCCCGGAGCGCATTAAAAATTTCCTTTGGCTTTCATATAAAGATCATTTGCTTACGAACGTTAATCATTGTACAATGAAGCTTACGGATGATCCTTTATGTCAAATATGTGGCTTAGCTAACGAAAATACTCTGCATGTTCTATGTGACTGCCAACACTCTGCAGCTCTTTGGCAACTGATTATCCGTCAGTAAACCCTATCAAACTTCTTCACCACTAACGCCTCTGATTGGATCACGATGAATCTAGAATAAAATAGTCTTTTTGCTGGCTCAAACATCCCATGGAAAGTAATTTTCTCTTCCATAGCCTGGCATATCTGGAAGAGAAGAAATTCCTACATATTTTCAAATTTGTTCATCCATAATTTTCAGCTCCTCTGTCTAACTAAAAATTGGTCCCTCTATATCATTGCAACAAAGACCATCTCCCCCACAGATTCCGGTGTTGGTCGTCCAGAACTTATACAATGGAAGCCCGCGCCTACAGACTGGTATACGCTTAACACGGATAGAGAGGTTCACAAAATTTCCTCTCTCGGATCTGTAGGTGGCCTCATTCGAAATATGAATGGTGATTGGATCATTGGATTTAATAAACCGGTTGGAATTTCAACTCCTCTTCAAGCTGAACTTTGGGGAATTTTTGAAGGACTTCAATTGACGCTATCCCATAATATCGAACGCCTTTAATGCCAAACAGATAGTGTCGAAGCTCTCAATCTCGTATCTTCGCCAATGGCTAACTGCAGTCCAATAGCCCTTGTTTGCTCTATTGCAAATCTCATATCAAAGCAATGGACAATCGAATTCATCCTCATTCGGCGTGAAGCCAATGCTGCAGCAGACTTCCTTGCAAAAACTACCGTTGTTACAAATGAACAAGCTCATACCTATATAGAACCCCCCCAAGAGATTATACCACTTCTTCACCGTGACCTCTATGGTCCTGCTTCCCTCCGCACTTAGTATTTCATTGTAATAGTCTCCTTTATAATTCAAAAAAAAATTAAAATATAACATTTTAGATTTGATGTTACTTAAAATATTACATTCTTATAATATTTTCGATTGTAACTTAAAATATTACTTTTTCCATAACATTTTAGTTTTAACATTTCAGGTTGATTTCAACATAAAATATTATATATTTTATAATTCACTCCTATTTTTATCATTTTTTAATCTTAAATCAAACTATTTTTTTTTAATTTTCGCATAAAAGCATGCAAGGTTTGGAACGAGGGATTAACTTTTGTTATGGGAGTCAAATTCATGAACTTATATAAGGATAAAATATTAGGAACTAATATGAGAAAGATAACCAAATTGAGGGACTACGTGAAGCTTTATCCCTTTTATTTATAGTTTCGTAGTATTTTCCTTCTCAAGTGATTATTATTAAGCATAGTGAACAAAGTTTGAAAGAGTTATCTCTCTTTATATAGGCTCTTTATATAGGATAATACATCCATCCCAAGTCATGGCTTCCTCCTCTCGTCACCTAAAGCATGACGTGTTCCTCAGTTTCAGTGGTGAAGACACTCGCAACAACTTCACCAGTTACCTATGCCAATCTCTGAGACGTAAAGGTGTCGGAGCTTACATGGATGAAAACCAGCTGAAAACGGGGCATAATTTGTCCCCAGCACTGTTGAAAGCGATCCAAGAATCGAAGATCTCGTTAATCATTTTCTCAAAAAGCTACGCTTCTTCTTCATGGTGCTTGGAAGAGCTTTTCAAGATCATGGAACTGAAGCGGCTCGACCAGCAAGTAGTAGTGCCTATCTTCTACCATGTTAACCCCTCCGATGTGCGGAAACGTACTGGGGGTTTCGAGGAAGCTTTTGCTAATCATCAAAAATCTTGGGCGCACCAATTGAAAGGGTGGGAAGATTCTTTTTCTGAAGCTGGGTATATAAAAGGGTGGCACATAGCGGGTGATAAATCAGACAGGTGACGGATTTTCCCATCCTCTTGAATTTAATTAAACTTTATTTATAAATTAGGATTTTGCAATTTATAGCTTTTCCGGTTGGAAGTTACAATTCAATGTTCATAGTATATGATGTGGGCTCGCTAAGTTTATTTGTTTCCTGATTTAGTGTATTCATTTTATATTTGTTAGATCAGAAGCCGAGTACGTGATGAAAATTGTGGAAGATATTGTGAAGAAGTTGGATAGCATGTCTGTAAATGATACTAAAGGATTTGTTGGAGTAGATCATCACAAAGAGCAAATTAAAGATTTATTACGTGTTAATGAGAAAGACATCCCAATGATAGGAATAGGAATTTGGGGTATGGGTGGTATAGGCAAGACAACTCTTGCTCAAGCTGTTTTTGATGAAGTCTGTGGTGAATTCGATAGTTGCTGCTTCCTTGCAAATGTTAGAGAGAAGTCGGAAAGACGTGACGGAATTACTTCCCTCCGAGATAAACTTCTTTCTGAAATGTTAGAAGAAGAAACCCTTGGTTCCGGAACTCCTAGAACAGGATCCAAATTCCGCAATGATAGACTCCGTCGAAAAAGGGTACTTGTTGTCCTTGATGATGTTAATGATCTGGACCAGCTAGAAATATTAGTAGGTGGTAATGGTATAGATCACTTCGGTTTTGGAAGTAGAGTTATAATAACATCTAGAGATCAACAAGTACTTAAGAATGGATCAGTTGACAAAATCTACAAGGTTGAGGGGTTGAACTATCTAAACTCGCTACATCTTTTTTCTTTGTATGCCTTCAAGAAAACCCATCCTCTTTATGATTTTGCGGATCTGTCAAATAGAGTTATAGAATATGCTAAAGGGGTTCCAATAGCTCTTAAAGTCTTGGGTTCTACACTTTATAAGAAAACTGAAGAACAATGGGAAAGCGCATTGGATAAGTTAAAGGACCATCCCAACCCAAAAATCTATAATCTGTTGAAGATTAGTTTTGATGGATTGGATGACATAGAGAGGGACATTTTTCTTGATATTGCATGTTTTTTTAAAGGGGAAAAGACAGAGGTTGTTGCAAAAATATTAAACAGTTGTTATAAAGGCGCTCATTTTGGAATAAGCAACCTAGTTGATAAGTGCCTCATTGATATTGTACAACTGGATAATACTCTTTGGATGCATGATTTGGATAATACTCTTTGGATGCATGATTTGGATAATACTCTTTGGATGCATGATTTGGATAATACTCTTTGGATGCATGATTTGCTACAAGAAATGGGTTGGAACATTGTCCGCCAAGAATCCAAGGATCCTGGAGAACGCAGTCGGCTATGGATCCCTAAAGATGTGTCTCGAGTGTTAAAACATGATGCGGTAAAAGTTAATTACAATCTTGTTTTTTCCCCATTCGTTAACTTTATTGAATGCATGCCTAAGAGAATTTCTGCGTAATAGTTTGTTGTTCTTGACAGGGAACTAAATCTGTTGAAGGGATATTCCTGGACATGCATGAAATTGATGGAATACAATTACATCAAGATGTTTTCCAAAAAATGCATAATCTTAGGTTCATTAAATTTTATTATTCTCAGTTTTCTGGGAAGGAAGGTTGCTCACTGCTTTCACAGCAGGATCTTAACTCTCTTCCAGGTGAGCTCAGTTATCTTCATTGGGAGCATTGCCCGTTGAAATCTTTGCCGCCAAATTTCACTCCAGGGAAGCTTGTGGAATTAAGACTACCAGACAGTGACTTAGAACAACTTTGGGATAAAGATCAGGTATGTGTTCTGTACTATTTTGCTCATCCGAAAAAGATTGTTTCTTTGTTTGGTAAAGCTTTAAATTCAGTTACACATTTTAAACTAATTGTGTTGTTCGTTATGATCATTCTACAGAATCTTGCTAATTTAAGAGTGATTGATCTCCGGAATTGCAAGAATTTAACTAAGATCCCAGATCTGTCAAGAGCCTTAAACATTGAAGAATTGGACTTTTGTGGGTGCATAAACTTGACTGAGCTTCCCTGTATGGTTCATATGAAATTTCTTGAAAATCTGAGTCTTAAAGACTGTCCAGTCACAAAGTTTCCAGAAATTCCGAGAACCATAAAAACATTAAACTTGAGTGGGACTCAGATAGAAGAAGTGCCTTCATCAATCAAGTGTTTCAATCGACTTTCTTCTTTGCATGTATGCCGTACACGAATTCACAATCTTCCCGAAAGTGTTGTTAAGATGGATTCCCTTGAGATTATCTGCCTGTCTCACTGCCCAAACATCATCCATTTTCCGAGTGTTTCAGAGAACACAAAAAAATTAATTTTGGCATTTACTCAGATTGAAGAAGTGCCTGCGTCGATTGGGTGTCTCAGTAAACTTGCTCTTTTAGATATGAGTGGCACAAAGATTGGTAATCTTCCAAGCACTATTGGCAGCATGGCTTCTCTAAAAGCAATCCATATCTGCCATTGCTTGAACATCACCCAGTTTCCAAATGTTCCCAAGACTATAGAAATTTTATTAATGGACAACACTCCAATAGAGGAAATACCCTCGTCGATTGCTTTGCTTAGAGGCCTTTCTAAGTTAAGTATGAGTGACTGTACTAGGATTAAAAGCCTCCCAACCAGTATTTGCCAGTTGAAATCTCTTCGAGAACTTTGTCTCCAAGGTTGTTCAAACTTGGAGAATTTCCCAGAAATCCTGGAGACTATGCAATGTCTAATTCAGCTTGCATTTTTCAAGAGAGTAATTATAAATGATTCACCCATCTTGAATGAGCTCATAATTCGTGTGCATTACAGAAGAAACTTGAGTGTCCTCAGTGTCATCCTTAGCAATAGCTTTCTCAAGTTTCACACACTGTCGACTCTAGACTTGAGTGTCCTCAGTGTCATCCTTAGCAATAGCTTTCTCAAGTTTCACACACTGTTGACTCTAGACTTGAGTGGGTCAAATATAGTGAAAATTCCCATGAGCATCCGGCAACTTCCTAATCTCATTTCTCTTTACTTGAAGTGTTGCAAGAACCTTATTTTATTGCCAGAGCTCCCACCATGTCTACAAAACCTAAATGCACATGACTGCACATCATTAGAGCTTGTGTTGAGTGGAAGACATTTTTCGGAGAATTCTCGCCTGGTCCACATGCTATTCAGTAATTGCTTCAATTTGGATCAAGACGTAATCAACAATATCGTTGCTAATGCACAAATTAGACTTCAATGCATGGTAGAGGAATGGGTGAAAGAATGGTCGTCGTCGGGACTTTATGAAATTATACCTGATAAAATTCTCGATAGAGTTGTTGCCTGTAGTGAAATTTCAGAAAGGTTCAAGTATCAATGCATGGATTCTTCGATAACAATCAAGCTCTGTCCAGATTGGAAGACTGATAGATTCCTGTGTTTTGTTCCGTCTGTTGTGGTTGATTTCGATAACAATCAGAAAGACATTGTTGTTCAAATTGTCTGCGAAATTCAGTTGAAAACCAAATGTCATGATTGTCATAGTTTCGTAAGTAGGTGGACTCCGCCTTTGTATTATGATGAGCCCATATTCTTTGAGTCGAATAACATGATCATTTGGTTTGATAAGAATATGTTTCAAAAAGATCAGCATTACAAGGAGGCCTCTTTTGAGTTCTACATCGCAGCTAAAGATGATGGGAAGCGTGTAGATCATATCAAGGTGGAGAAATGCGGTGTACATGTATTTTATGTTGATGCGAAGTGTTCTATTGACTGCAATGTCAGATCCAACAAAAAATCCAGCTCTGGTGAAGAGGAAGGGAAGCAAGCCCTTAGGCTTTTGGAATCAAGCTATGGAGTTTCTGCGTATCTGCCATGCACTGAAGATGATGAGACCGGTTGCACTCCTAACATAATGCAGTTCCGGCCAAACTCTCCAACTGATCTGAATTGGCTCTCAACAAAAAGAAGTTTTAACAATCTAGAGTTTGGTGGATCATCACACCAAGAAGATATCAATTTTAACAATGATCATGATAACCTTACTCTCCGGAGAAGTTTCAGAAGCTATCAAAGATTCAACTTTGATGATGACGATGAACCGGAGAGCAAAAAAGATTGAAGGGTTTTCATTTCTTTTGACTGGATTTCTGGTTTATGCATCGAATGAACGAGACCAAGGTTGGTATTGAGCAGGAATTACTTGGCTTGATCCATTGTTTTATATTTGATATTATCCATGAATGAAACATAAAATGTGTAAATATCCTGGTTCAGTTGGTGTTATGTTGCTAATTAACTTGTACAACATTAATGTCTGCCAGGTAAACCTTCCATTGATCCTGCAACATAATATCTGTTGTGATGCAATCGAGGTAGAGAATTGACATCCCCGGCTTCAGGCTGCTTTTGCCGGTAATTTCAGATCTTCAAGGTATGATATTTGACTTCCATATCTTGTTTGGCATTGCTTAGCAATATCTTGTACACCAAAAAAAAAGCCAAACCTTGAGCCTGCAAGTGCATACCAACGTGTAGGATGTCACTTGAATCTTAGATATTAACTTATTGGATTGTATGATCGTTCGTGTATGCATGTTACCTTTGCATCACTTTTTAGTGGTGTGGATGGATATCTTGCTCACATGTCGTGTACCAGTGATCAAGCTCCTTGAAGAAAACAGGAGGGGATGACATTAATGCGATAGTACAAGTTGGTGATAGAGCAATATCAACCCAACCACAAAATTAAAAATTAAAATCACAAATGATTTCATATGCAAAATTTGTTTTTTGAACTTTGGGACCTTTTTTCTCTCAATTTTGGGTTCCATTAGCAATCATGATGAAAAGTAGGGGGGGACAAAGGGAGATTATGAAGCGATTGGAATTCTTTTCCTTCTTACTAAAAGATCAATCCTATTAGGGAGTGATCGACCATTTTACTTGAAAAGATCGATCCATTTCTATAAAAGAACTGATTCATTTTTTGGAAAATGCAGAAAATGATATGAATATGCATGAACATGCTAATAAATGAACTTCCAATTGATCTTAGATCTATGAACATGTTCAAACATACTTGATACGCTTAAAATATGTTAAAACGCATACTATACAAGTCTCATAATATAAAAATACATATAATAATGATAACGCATGCATAAACTGACATTATTAAAATTAAATCTCAATATATATTCGATAATTGTGAGCTTCTATCAATATTTAATTTAATAAATCAAAACAGAAATAGATTGATATGATAACCAAATAAATATATATATGAATATGAAGAATTGATGTTGAATCTAACTATAAAACAAAAGAAAATGTCTGCTATAAAAATAAACAAAAAAATGTGTTAAAAAATGGACAAAAGCATTCGCCATTTTCTTATAAAAACAGGAAAAGACCAATTAAATGAAGTAACATAATTATAGGGTTAAGGATGATCATTCATGTTTGTGTTTTGGTCATTGATTTCAAAATACATAAGATATATCTTATCACCTTCATTCTTATTTAATTAAGATGTGGTCATCACAAAACTGCCGTTAAATATTTTGGTATAATCACACATTTGGTCCATATTATTTATATATTCTCTCAATGTAGTCATATTTTTAATAAATTAAAATAAATTTAATACTCTAATCAAATTATGCCACTGTCATTGGTACCACATGTCGTGCCGTGTGTCACCATTTGGCTGAACAACTAACTTTATTTTATTTTAATTTAATAAAGCAAAGGAAATTTGTGAAAAATAAATATATTAAATAAAAATAAATAAAAATAAAGTTAATCCTCTGATCGAATGGTGACACGTGACACGACACATGACACCAGTGACACGTGATATCATTCAATTGGAGGATTAAATTTATTTTAATTTTATTAAAGTGAGACTAAATTGAGAGAACATGTAAATAATAAGGATCAAATGTGTAATTATACCAAAATATCATGTTACTTAATCTGTTAACTGTTAACTGCGGTTAAATCGTGGTAACCACATCTTAAATGATAAAAAAACAAAAGTGAACATATCTTAATTAAATAAAAACAAATGTTTATGTATTTAAAAATCAATGACTAAAAGACAAAACAAAAACATAAGTAATCGTCCGTATAATTATCCCTAATTATATTATAGGGAAGGAAGAGAACGTAAGCAAAAGAAAAAATCAACAGTTAAAGGCTAATTTAATATTAGTGTCATCGTTAATAATAAAAATTATAACAATAAAGAAAAAAAACATAAAAGATACATAATAGAGAGAATGGTTAAATAATTCAAATGATCGAATTAGATTAACCTTTTCTATGGTTGATTATTATGGAGGGAAGTATGATAACTTTTGTGAAATTACTCTTTCTTGGTCAGTTTTCTTTTTATTGATGTTTTTGTTATATATCCTATGTTTATTTTGATGGTTGAAATTAAACATATACAAATTTAGATTAAAATATATAAACATATCTTTATTATAAAATATTTTTGTTGAGTTTCTAAATTATAAAAAGTTATAAAATGATTATTTAACTTCCCTTAAAATTGTACGAATCAACATACCTCATTGGTTAAAGAAATATTTATTATATTTAGAAGTCTTGGATTTGAGAATATCGTATATCAAGAGTGCTTGAACATCTATTATCAAATGAATTAAAAGTCTTTATATTACCTTGTAATCATCTTTAGATTAATAAAAACTTTTATATAAACAATAATGAATTGATCTTATCATTAAAAAGTTAATACAAAAAGGTTATTATTTCCCCAAAGAGTTTGCGACAGATAACTTGCAAAGGTTGGGAAATCTCAGCGTCTTTATGTGTTGCATTCTTTCAAGGGATATCTCGGCGTCTTCATATTTGTTGCTGGGAGCTGTAGGAACGCTGCGATTGTTGTATGTGGGAGTTGCTGCTGCTGCTGAAGCTGGGGGGCCTCGACGTGAGCAGCTGCTGTTGAATATTATGCATGTGGACGTGAGTAGAGAAGGCGCAGGAATCTTGCATGCATGCGAAATGAGAGAACCTAAAAGACTACCTCTTACAATGTTTTTCTGATGCATTTTGTCATTATTTGAATAAAAAAATGGAGATTTAAGTTGGAGGGTTAAATCTGGTGCCAAGTAAGAGAGACCAGGTCATGGAATTTCCAACGAAGACGATGACATAGCAGCAACCATGGAAATGGATTGGTCGATGACTTGACTGCTTTTCTTTTCACATGCTTTAAACTAATGTCCCCACTAATTTATCCGATATTAAAGAGTAATTAGTGGGAACATTTGTTTAAAGCATGTGAAAAGAAAAGCAGTCAAGTCATCGACCAATCCATTTCCATGTTGCTGCTAGGCCTGTAAATGAACCGAACGCACATGAACGAAGGTATGTTCATGTTCGTTCATTTAATAAATAAACGAACATAAATGAACACGAACATAAACGAACAAATTTTTTTTTGTTCATGTTCGTTTATTAAGGAATATAACTTGTTCATGTTCGTTCATTTAATAAATAAACGAACATAAACGAATACAAACATAAACGAACACGAACATAAATGAACACGAACATAAACGAACATAAACGTTGGAGACCCTACCTTCCATTATTCTTTCATGAAAAATAGTCGACAATGCAAATCAACCAAATCTACAGTGATAAATAGCGTAAGAGCTTATTAGCAGTGATGAAATGTTTGAAGATATCAAATATTTTGATCAATCTTTTAAAGATATTAAATGATTCACACGACTTTAATTTAACGCTATAACATTTATATTAGTGTTCCATGATTACATATGAACAATCATTTTCCGCTATTACACTCTTTTTCAGAAATTGCATAGAAACATTTGTTTTGTTTTCTGGCAAATTCTATATATTTTTCTTTTTACTGATGCTCATATACTTCCGATTTTTACCTTTATCTTCCCATCTATTTCTAGAAAGAAGTATTATGTTTTCTTGAGTTTTAGATGTGAAGATACCCACAATAACTTTACATATCAACTATTAAGTCAAATAAAACAGAGAAAGAGATGAAAACAGACCTGTAAAACTTCATATTGCACTATAATATAACTTGTTTTGAATCTTTCAGAGATCGTCTCCACTCTCCAGTGAACAATAAGGTTTGGAAAAAAAAGAGAGAAAATGAATATAAGTGCGAGGTGCCTCACAGGTTAACATATTGAATTTAATCTCTAAATAAAATTGGGTTAATTATGGAGTTGGTCATCAGAATATCAGATTAATATTTTTAAGATACTTATAAATTGGTCACCAAAATTGATTTAAGAAGATTGTGTTAAACATAAATGAATGAACATAAACGAACATAATCGAACGAACATAAACGAACATAACCAAACGAACATAACCGAACGTTCACGAACGTAAATGAACGAATGAGACATATGTTCATGTTTGTTCATTTAATTAAACGAATAAAAAATCTTGTTCATGTTCGTTCATTTAATAAATAAACACACATAAACAAATTTCTCGTCGCACGATTCATGAACGATTCGTTGAACGTTCAATTCATTTACAGGCCTAGTTGCGGCTATGTAATCGTCTTCGTTGGAAATTCCATGACCTGGTCTCTCTTACTTGGCACCAGATTTAACCCTCCAACTTAAATCTCCATTTTTTTATTCAAATAATGACAAAATACATCAGAAAAACATTGTAAGAGGTAGTCTTTTAGGTTCTCTCATTTCTATGCCCGAATTTTACTTCTCCCGAATTTTAACCAAAGTTTTCCATCGCCAAGAAAAAAGTCAGATAATTTCTTTGAATCTAAGGTAACCCGTCTATATATTTTCCAGGATTCAATCTTTTATATGATTTATTAATCTATCCTTCCATTGATTTTAAACTCAATGCTTCCATCGTTTGTTTGAATATTGTTTTCTGTTTACAAGATTATCATTCATGGATCTGATTTAAACCCTTTTTTTATCCGAACTAAAGAGCTAGAGTTGTTCAGATTTTGTATTATTTGGGTTTTTTGTGATTTGCTGCGTACTGCTTGATTTGATTTCATTGTTTTTGTCATGAAAGCTTGGATCTTTAGGTGTGAGAAAAGTTGATTTCATTGTTTTCTGCTTGATTTTGTATTATTTGGGTTTTTTGTTTTTGTATTAGTAGAGTTGTTTACAAGATTATCGTTTGTTTGAATATATGGTGATAAATCATTTCATTGCCTACCGAAGTCTATGACTCGAAGATTGATAAGTGAACGGTTCATCAGATAATGCCTTCAGTTAATCTTTCCTCCTCAAAGATGGCATATTGTGACTCCAGGTTGTATTTAGAAACCCTTTCACCCCTTGGCTTGATGATGTATCGGATGGACTCAGGATATTGGGAACATATTCCAGCAAAGTTCCCAAGATCTTTCTAGATGGTTATTTGGTTGCCGGGACACAGAAGCGCCTGTTTCTAGTTGGAAGAATTGGTCTTTATAGTATTCTACATAGCAAAACTTTCGAGATAATGTTCTGAAA